ACATCCAGTTCAATGTTATTTGTATTGAACTTAGCAATGTTTCACCATAAGAAAAATAAATATCTATTCTATTATTTCTTTATTATAATATGTTAAATCTAATCAATTAGTATTATAGTTTCAGTTTGAGCTTGATTATATAATCCTCTTGACAATATTTTTAGGGCTTTTTTAAATAATATATTTTGAATTGAAAGTATTTTTTGTATCATTTGACTCACATAAGTTCTTAAATGCCAAAAAGCCTCATTATATTCATAATAGGAAAATACTTTATCAAAATCTTTGGCCCATATCATCTTGGGCAACTTTTAATAATGATAGACAATATTGTAAACTTAAATTTTTAAGATAACCTACCACCTTTTAACCACTAATAAAACGTACTTTAATATGTTTAACAAAATTTGTTGAACCCTTAATCCATAGTTCTTAAATGCCAAAAAGGCTAATTATATTCATATATAGGAAAATATTTTATCAAAATCTTTAGCCCATATCATCTTGAGCAACTTTTAATATTGATAGACAAAGACAATATTGTAAACTTAAAATTTAAAATAACCTATATGAACCTTTTTTAACCATATATAAATTAAATAATATACTTAATATGTTTAACAAAATTTGTGTTGAACCCTTTATCATTTTTTTGCTTATATAGGTTTTACATTCAGCCTGTACATTGTTTTTTTTAACTTTAAATTTCCATATAAAATTTTAAAAATGAAATTTGATTCAGGAGAAGTTATTTTCATCTAACTTTGATACATAATATTTTTTTCTTTTATAAAGAAAAAGCACAGTGAATTTAAAAATGAGATTACCAAACACCTCAACGAATTCTCTACACAAAAAAATATATCACTGCAAAACCAAAGTGGTTCTGGTTGCAAATCCAGACAATCTAAATTAAATTTTAACAATCTAAACATTCCAGCTGTATCGCAAAAAGCAGCAGACAAGGTTATCATGGATTTTATTATTGACACCTTCCAACCACTGTCTCTGGTTGATGATCCTTCATTTGAAAAAATGATTAAAACTTTTTCTCCTGCGACAAAAATTATTTGTCGCCAAACACTGGGCAACAGGATATCTACTTCCTTCTCTTATATGACGACAAATCTTATAAGAGATTTGTCTGAAGTTTCTTATGTATGCACCACTGCTGATTGTTGGAGTGGTCATCGAAGGTATATTATATTTATATGAATTTTATAATGTTTATTTTATTAGGGCTTTTATTGGACTTACTGCACATTGGCTTGATCCGTTAACCCTCAAGAGAAGGTAAGCCGCTTTGGCACTGAGGAGGATAATTGGGAGGCAAACATATGATGTTTTGGCCAACGAAATCATGGGTATCCGCAAGTTCTATAAAATTCATAAAGGTGGTGAAGATGGTTACTGACAATGGAACCAACTTTGTCAAGGCATTTAAGTAATATCTATATTTAAAAATATTTAAATAAATATATTTTTTCTAGAGTTTTTGGAGAAAATGAAGAAGATAGTAGTGAGGATATGGAATTGATAAATTTGGATGACATATTATCCGTTGATGACTCAATTATTCCTCCTATCAGCCTACCAAAACATCAACGTTGTTGTTGCCATAATCTTAACCTTATTGCAACAACAGATGCGGAGATGGCAGATAGTGATCTCAATTATAAACGAATATCTAGATCCACTTTTGCAAAATGTTTTGCTTTAGTTAATAAACAAAATATGACGTCAAAAATGGCGGATATTTTATTGGAGAAATTGGGAAGATATTTAATAGCTCCCAACAAGACAAGATGGAATTCTTATTACCAATCCATGAAATTAATAGATGATACAATATTTTTTTACCGTTTTATTGCGAAAACCGACAGATAAAATAATATTTATATAAACAAAATTATAACAAGAAAAAAAAATTACTAAAAAAACATTGTTTACTAGGCTTTTTATATTTTATTTACAATCCTTATTATTATTATTTATTTATTGTCGATATCACACGTCAATCTTCTTTTCTTTTATTCATTTATTTACTTTTTATGAATATCCTACCATATATTATCGATTTTATTCATTATTATTAGTCATTTCTAATACATTCAATGCTCTCCACGTCCCATTCACGTCTTCCTCCCTTGACAATCTCTTCATCCCTTGACAATCACCATTTGTTATTCACCACTATTTTTAGTTTATCATTTCCAATTTTAGCCATTTATAATTTCCAGTCCCACCCTCCCCAGCCTAAGGCCAGGCTTGGACAAAGCCCCTAGGTATGATAATTTTCGAATCAAAATAAGTCGATTGATATTTCAATCTCCAAAAATCTTATAATAGTGTTTCCGAACCGTTAAAAGAAGTGATTGTTATATTCCGGTTATTTGTAAAAAATGATACCGGTTTGATCTATTTTATTAATTCTTTTCGATTCATTTGAGTGTTTTGTAAGTTTTTGATTTTTTAAATTATAGGGTTACACACAGCGTCTAAATGAGCGGGAGGGGTAGGAACAGTTTGCATCCTATTTTTTGAGGGGGGTAGGGGATAGGCTGCTTTAATGGGGGTAGGTTAAATTTTTTGGGGGGTTATCTATTAAATTTTGAGATGAAATAGGACAAAATTTATTGCTGTAAAAATTAATACTTTTATTATAGAATTATTATAATACAATTCATCGACCAAATCTATATATTGCAAACAATCATACACATTGTTTTCCAAATAAAACTTTCTGCTATCTTTTTAAATGTAATTTATAAAATTGATATTTCAGCAAGCTCATATAATAATTAATTCATTGTAAATAATGGAGGTTTTAATTGAATTTATTATCTAAAAAATAAATTCAGTATATTCACAAAATATTGATAGTTGGTAGTAGAGATGGATTAATTTAAGTTATCTTAGATAAATTCTCTAAAAAGTGTATCAATAAATTAAAAAGGTGAAAATAATAATAGACAGACACCGCCGCCGAAGGCGGCGGAATTTTTTAGGGGGTAGGCAAAGGTTTTTGAAGGGGGTTTGCATCCAGTGAAAATCCTGTCATGTAGATGCTGTTTACACACTTAAAATAGGAAAATGACCGATAAAAAAAAAGGTCAATGAAAAAGGAAAAGGTTCGATCAAAAAAGGAAAAGGTCCGATCAAAAAAGGAAAAGGTCCGATCATAAAAAAAAGAACTGAAAATAAAAAAATGAAAAGTCCTAAGGCTTAAGAAAACGATCAAAAAAGGAAAAAGGTCCAATCAAAAGTATCAATATAAAATAGAAAAGTCACAAGGTTTAGGAAATAATTCGATCAAAAAACAAAAGTGTCAAACAAAAAAATCAAAAAAGAAAAGTAGTCTTAGCAGTTTAGGAAAAGTAAAAAGGAAAATTCCCATTCAGAAAAGAAAATCGTTAAATAAATTTTTTTCATGTAAATTTTTTATTTTTCCTTTTTATTTTATTGCTAACATTTTACTATCTCTTTAAGCCATTATAAATCTTTAGTCATACGATTTATAAATTAAACCTTTTTAATATACGATTAAAAAAATTTAAAACATTTAAGGATAGACCAATTTATTTCTTTAGAAAGCATCATGCAGTTCCACCTTATGGATATTATTGAACGAAGGTAAGATGGCTCGAATAGCAAATTAAAAGAATCTACCAAAGATTCAAATTAAATAATTATGAAACAATTGATGGTCTTCGACAATATATTGATGAAGATATTCACAATATAAAATTAAATTTTTTTAATGGTCACTCCTGCAATACTGCTGAGTGTGAATAGTAAATAATTTGCCAAATTTGAAGTTCATAAATATTTATGGACCTTCAATTCCAAATTTATATATCAAAATGGGGAAAAGAAATTATCACAGGCCGAATGAACAAAATAATATAGGTCAAAGGAAATGAAGATATGAAAGATTTATGAAAAAAATTATATTTATATATTTTTTTTGTAGAGATATCATATCGGTGGATTTATAATTTTGCATTATTTTAAAATATAATATAAGCAAAGAATTTGTTTTTATTTATAACAAAAAAATATCGATTATATATATTTTTCGAAAAAATATTAAAAATAATAAAAAAATTGTAGCCACCCACCTTTCCCATTGCCAAATTCTTAATCAGAATACACTACTGATCAAATTATTTTTTTACATCTATAACATTTCGTATAAATTTGCTTTAAATATTCCATGTCTATTTAATAATCATTTTAATATAATATTATGATATGCAATGATATATAATAGTATTATTTTACTGAGCCTTCATGGTATTTTTATTATATATATATATCACTAATATATTAAAGTAGAAGTGTATTTAATTAAAAACTAATCATGTTATATTTTTTTTTTGGGGGGGGGAGTGCCTTTGATCGTAAGATATTTCATCGTATTTTTCGTCCAACTCATCTAATTCGTTCAAAATAGAGATTAACAGGTTTGAAATGGTAAAAAATATTTTGATTAATAAAATATAATAAAAGTTTGCTATAAGAAAATATAATAAATAAAGGTTCATCATAATAAAATAAGTTTATCATACTAAAATATAAATTAAAACGATGGGATTTTAAGTTATGCTTTATAAAATAAAATAAGGAATGAAACAGAATAAAAGTAAACTAAAATGGAAATTATATGTCCGACTCCGAGGTTTAAGTAAAATGTTAAAATAGTATATATATATATATATATAATATCGAAATTGAATAAATTATTATATGTTAAAAAGATATATGATATAAGATGTTTCCATATATTTGTAGAAAATACTAAACTGCTTTTAAATAAATACTGGCTCAAGGTAATTTAATTTTGTTATTGCTAAATATTTTATAAATACTGTCCAATAGATAATTTTTTTTTGACTAATTTACTGCTCAAAATTTATAAATGTTTACAAAAGATTAATTTTTTGATAATAAGGATACTGCCAATTTAATTAATTAATTGCCCAAAAAACCATAGAATATTTTGTTAATTGCTATGTATTAACCGACGACGTGCATTATCTTTAGTGTATTTTTCCATGGTTAGATCATTAACATAATTTGTTTACCCATAATATGAGTAAATTCTAGCATTTTTGAACATTTTATAACTTTATTATTTATTATATTTATAACCTATCACATCTGTTGGAATATATATTGCTATTTTTATTTATATTCAATGTTTTATATTATATTTTCCTTACAGGTGACAAAGATCTCCAAGAGACAGATAATTCTAACACACCTGTTTTGAAATTTCCATGGCCAGTATATAATCCTTATTTTGTAATAAAGAAACACAAAAAGGATGTAAACTCCATAGTGGTAGAATGCAAACTCTGCCTTCCAAAAAAAAATCATTTGTCAATTTCACTTTCCTCAACATCTAATATAAAAAAACATTTAAAGGTAATTTTACAACTAGAATGACTAATAATATTAATATTTTTAAGAGAAAACATTATAGCACCTTCATTATATTAGATAAAAAATCAAGATGCACATCTTTATTACCATATATTAACAAAAAATCAAATGAATGCACATCTATATCACCATATCATGTTAAAGATGGACTATCTTCCAATGAATTTTTTGACTCTGTTAAGCCTGAGAATCTGCCAAATAAAGTTCTATCTGGAAATTTAGAAAATTTATCTCTAACTAACTCGGTTATTGCTGAACAATATAATAATAATAATTTTAGTTCCTTAATTACTGAGATATCTAGAGGAAACCTATTAGAAGAGTCAGAAAAGAACAAAACTGAGATATTACAGGCTAATGATCAAGATCCCACAAAACATTTAGCCCTATATATAAGTACAGAAATAGCAACACTACCAACAGAACATGCTGAAAAATTTCGATTATGGTTATTAAATCACTTCTATCTTGGTATGCATACCATGAGAAAGTGTATTCAAAATAATACTGATTTTGATGATTTTTTATAATATATTATTCTCAAATAACCATGGTAATTTATTTAATCACTTTATTATAGATATAAGCATTTAAAGTATTATAATAATAAATAATACTGTTATTGAATTGTATTTTATTAGAGATATAATAATTATTTTTATCACTGTGCCATTTTTACCTAAAAATTGAATCCTTTGATAGTCATAATGGTATTACTCTTATACCACTTTTTAAAATCCTTTTATTTTTAATAAAAGCTATGATTATATATTAAATATATCTATTATGATTTAATAAACAAATAAAATTTTTGCATAAGATATTTTCCCCACTAAAGTTTTTATTAAAGATAGATTGACTGAAAAATTATTCCTTTGATTTTTGATATATGAAACAAAGCAAAATTTTGAAATGTATATTTTATTTCTAATGTTATTAGTTATATTTGATGTATAATTAAATCTGTTTTATTTCTGTAATCTAAGGTCAAAGTGTGAGTGCCGTATTTTAATTTTTTTAATATATCCAGGCCGGGCCTTATATTTTAAAACCAAATATTTGAAATCGCCATTATTAGTTATAAAAATCAAAAATAAATAAAATATTAGGAATGTACCAATATTTTACCCATTTTAAAATACCGGTGAAAATTTTCTGATCTGGTCCGATAAAAAATGGCGTTTTTAACAAAAATAAATTTTTTAAAAAAAGCTGCCATATTCTTAATTTTTTTGAGCATTCTATTTATAAGTGTGCGATAATCCCTTCCAAATCTGTTTTTAGTGAAGCTGATGATATTGACAGTTGCCATTGTCACAGGCAGACCTCTGATAAATGAAATTTTGGTGATTCTAGGCCAAATACGAGCAAAATCTCCACTCTTTAAATACTTATTTCAAATTTCATAATAAATTTGTTTATTACTTATTATTTAGATAGATTAATGTTATTACTTATTATATAAAAGTAATTTAACAATAAAAATATTTTATATTTTTAGAATTGCAATTGAATTGCAATTGAATTGAATATAAACTATAACTGATCATTATAATAATTTAAATGACATAAGATATGGTATAGTTAGATTATAGATGTTACATAAAAAGTATATTAAAAATTAAAACCATTGGTATCATTACAGAATACAAAATTAGATATGATATCGGATTGATATCAATTTAAATCGGGAATATCGAATCAAATCAGCCTTGAAAAAGTGATATCGGTACACCCATATAAAATATATTTTAAAAAATAGGGTTGGGCCATACAAATGGTACCTCTGCAGGTCTCTGATTTTTACTAAAAGTTGGCAGAGCCTTGCTTAGGTAGCCAAATCTACTGACCAAAAAAGATTTTCATGCTAGGTTTGACAATTATGAAATATTTTTACAGGTCAGGTCAAGGTTTTGAAAATGTTTTAAAATTGTTAGGCAAATTTATGTCACTTTATAAAAAATTATTACGGATTGGGCTGGACAACACAACTTGTACAATATATTTTATGGTTTGGGTAAAAATAATTATGTGTCAGGTAGCTGTGCAATAAAAAAGAATTGTATATACAATGGGCTTGGCAATTTTTACATAAAAAATTTAGGCTAGGCTTGGCATTTTGTTAATAAAAGATTTTTATACTGGGCTGGGCAATTTATACATAAAAAATAGGCATGGCCTCCCAAATCTCTTATTTTTCTAAGATTTTAATAAGACAGCTTGGGATTTTGATATCCTCTTTGAATTTCAAGCTCTGATTTTGAACACTAATTGAAAATAAGATATGCATTTGTATTTTAAGAACTGTCTAACTAAAATAATAAATTATAAAGTGAGTTCACAAAAAATTATATATTTATGATCAGGCTTGTTAATCGATCCTTTTAAAAAGATCTAATCACGATCTTTTGAAAAAAAGGGATCACGATCCTTTTCTTATTTAAATTTCTGATCGATGCAAAATCAACTAATACAAAAATTAATTAAATATGGTATAAATGTATTGTAACTGAATAATATAATAAATGCTTGAAAAGTAATAATTTCACAATTTATAAAACATTTCCCAATTTTCACAAACTATATCCTCGTCCTATAAGAAACCATCACATTTGGTATTTGGCCATCATATAACCTCTTCTGAAGGTATTCAGCAAGGTGATCCCCTAGGCTCCATATTAATTTGTCTTGGTATCCATGATTTGATTACTAAAATAAATAATGATTGCACGCTGCCCTTACACTTATGGTATATTGCCGATGGGCTCTGGCGAATCTGCAGAGGTGGTAAAGGCTATCAATATTATTAAGGCTTCTATTGACAGCCTTGGACTTGCAATTAATCAAATCAAAACTGAGTACTGCGATATTTAATACAATTCAGCAAAACGTTTTTGGGTTTAAGCATGTCCCCTTGAAAAATCTATCGCATTTGGGCTCTCCCATTTGTAAGGTGTCAATGAATTCTTTCTTTTAGCAATATGGACGATATCTATGAAAATTAAAACGCATTCTTCCTTGTCTTTCGGCTCAAGGCCTTTTTTTTAATTGGGAGTTTCTTCAACATCCCTAAATCCTTTATGCCCTACGATCGAGCGCATTATTTTTAGAGAGGGAGCATTTAGTGAGATTCGAAACCAGAATAAGAGTCATCCTTAGCGACTGCTTAAATATCAAATTTACAGACATAGCTTGGCATCAAGCCACACTTCCTTCCAAACATGGCGGCCTTGGTAAAAGATCCCCATTGTCGATCTCAATATGAGCGTTCATTGCTAGCCACCTTCAGGCACGTATATTAATTGACCAACATCAGTCGGTTCACTATTCTTTTTTGAATTTAGCTAGGAGAGAATGAACAAAATCCGTCACAACCACAACCCTCGATCTCTGTAAAGCAGAAGGATTGGGATTTACCACTTGTGAAAAACTCCGTTGATTACCTTATATCGAGTCTCTCACCATTGGCTAGATCCACATTTATTGAACTTATCAAAGATCAGGGATATGAATTTTTAGATGTTATTCCATCTACCAATCTCAAATTCGAATTGGACAACCATGAGCTCAGCTATGTTTTATGTATCCTCAACATTCCCTTTTCATTACCATATAAATGCAGCAAATGTCATACTGATGATAACAATATGACACTGCATCCTTTACTTTGCAATCGTAATCCCGGTCGGCAAACTCGACAAGTGCCATCAAATCATATCTCTTGCACTTAAGTCAGCTGGTTTTCCCACCTCAATGGAGCCTTCTGGCCTATTTTCCGATAGTAGGCGTCCTGATGGGGTCACACGTATCCCATGGTCTCAAGGAAAGTTTATAATATGGGATTTCTCTTGTTTGGACACTAGCTCCCCCTCTAATTTTAACAAGGACGCTCTGAACAGAGTTAATTTAAGACCGGCAAATACAGCGCAGATTCCTTAAATTACATATTCATACCCATTATTTGCTCACCTTAACTACATATGGTGATTTGGCTAAAAACATTTTTAAAGATGTTGGCGGCTTAATCAGAAAAAATTCTGGGGAGCCTCGCAAAGGTTTTTACTTAAGGCAGAAGATCGCAATAGCCATTCTTAAGGCTATATGTTTGTTTTATTAATTCGATCTCTCCTGATGATTAGGTGAAGGAGGTTTTGAATAATTTTGCTGCTTTCGCTTTTACTTATTTTGTATTTTACATTATTTTATGATCTATGCCTCAATATTGTACTTTTGTTATTATGTTTTTTTTTCGTAATCGTTATCTAATTATAAATTATATTTTTTTCATTTTATAAATTATACAATTATAAATTAATTTCAAGATCTATATCAACTTTAATATACAAAATATATATTTTCTTTTTTTTAAAAAAAAAGAAAGTATAACAATTAGAATATATTTATTTATATTAAAATTAGCCTTTAATAATAAAATACTTTCTAAATTATCATCATTTAAACAACCACCTTTTTCATTAAGTACATGTTTAGCTTTACTAAACAAGCGCTCCACAGGAGAGCTTGATGGTAAAGGTGTGTTATATTCAATAAATGTTTTTTAAAAATTAATTATTAAAAATATTCATTGAATCATCATTAGAATAAAATAAATTGACGAATTTTTCCCCAAAAAGGTATCGATTTTATCCATGCATTCATTTGAAGGATCTGCATGTGGTTTACCCTGTACATTTTCTAAATGGGCAATTAACCTTTATTTTAGCAACAGATTTTGTTGCAGATTAATAAAAGGCCAATTGAGCTTAAATTTCGGTGAATTATTGATGCCAATATATTACTGTCATCATATAGTGAAAGGAAATCTATATTTATAAATGATAATTAATTTATCATTAAATAAGTGTTCATTATATAAATCAGGTATCTGCAAAAGTTAGCCATTTCAAATTTTACTGTCAGACCTGACCAATCATCTATATAATATTTAAATTTAATAATTTTTAATGCCTATGATGGCACATTAAAATTTTACCAGATATCAGAGGCATTGTAGACCAGGCCTGTTAAAAATATTTCACTAAATTTGCCAGATCATAGCAATTTTTTAATAAATTTTGTAGATATCTGTTATCTATTAATATAAAAAAATTGCATAAAAATTTATTACCTTTTACCAATACCTCTAAAAACACACTCTACAAGGGGCTGACGATATCGAGGCAGCTAAATTTCTTTAATTTATCTATAAGTATGGTTAGAACTGGGCGATATCCCTGCTACATGTTATATGCCTCTTTAGGTTTGAACTGCTAATCTTTGAAGAAGATATTTTGTTTTTGCATAAAGATCATTTCGCATAGATAATTGTATGGTTACTTCCATCCGTTTCTCACATAAACAAAAATACTTACATAAATTATGAAATGGTAAAAGATTCTTATTCTCACTTATATATGCTGTTACATCAATAGAAGTAGATGTGTCATCTTCTACTAGAATTTATTTATATTATAATATTATTAATAAATAAATATAACTTGTAGGCTCTAAATCTGGTACAAAAAATTTGGCAAATTGTTGAAATATAAAATCTGGTGGAATGGTGGTTGATAAAATATGATGTAGTTAAATATTTTTTTAAAAATAATATTTTAGTTTAATTTTCAAATTTTTTATTTTATTTATTGCTTTTTAAGTAAAAAAATAATTTTTAAAAGGATCGGGATCAAATATTTTAAAAAATGAACTCGATCACGATTCACAATTTAAGGGCAGGATCTTAAAT